TTTGCTCCTTATAGCATTTCTTTTTTCACCAAAGAAATGGCGGTGGCTGCCTATGCGGTGTCTACCGTAAGAATTGTGAGTGCCGGCTTTCTTTTCTACGGTATCGGGATGGTATACGCAAATGCGTTTAATGGTGCTGGTGATACACGCACGCCCACAGTTATAAATTTTTTTGCTTACTGGTTCCTGCAGATACCGCTGGCTTACTTTTTGGCAAAAACGCTTCATATGGGTCCGGCCGGTGTTTTCATTGCCATCCCTGTGGCAGAAACCAGTACAGCCATTGCTGCTTTTTTTATCTTCAGGAAGGGTAAATGGAAGTTTCAAAAAATATAGTCGTCAACAAAAGATCGTCTGCCACCCGTTGCAACGCGGGTGGCTTTTTATTTTTATCTTGTGTATATGAATGCATATATCCCCGATGGCAGAATAAGACAGCTCACTTTTATTGCCGTGCTGGTGTTGCTGGGATATATACTTTTTGCAGAACTGAAAAGTTTTATCCCGGCCTTCCTGGGTGCGCTTACGCTTTATGTAATCATGCGCAAATGGATGTTCCGGCTGATATATGTGAGAAAATGGAAAGCGTCCTGGTCTGCCGCCATGCTGATGCTGGCTTCCTTCCTGATTATATTGGTGCCTATTGGTACAGTGATCAACATGCTCTCTTCGAAAATCAATTTTGCCGTACAGCATTCTTCCGAACTGGTAACCGCCATTGAATCATTTGTAAAAAATATTGAGAAAAGAACAGGATATAAGATCCTGAACGAAGACACCTACAAATCCATGGCAAGCTTTCTTGCCGGTAACCTGCCTTCATTGCTGGGCGCCACTTTCAACAGTGTTACCACTATTATTTTCATGTACCTGATTCTCTATTTTATGCTGGTAGAGGGCCGGGGTATGGAAAGAACCCTTTACCGTGTTTTACCTATGAGCGATGCCAACCTGAACCGTGTGGCCAGCGAAGTGAAAAACATGGTAATGTCAAATGCCATTGGTATTCCGCTGATTGCAGTCTTCCAGGGCGTAATTGGCGTAATTGGCTACCTGGTACTGGGTGTAAAAGAGCCCCTTTTCTGGTTCATCGTTACCTGTATTACCTCCATGCTGCCGGTAGTAGGTGCCGCTGCTGCCTATGTGTCTATTGCCCTTATATTTTTTGCACAAAATGATACCTGGAAGGGTTTTGCCATGCTGGCGTATGGTTTCGGCATCATCAGCACTGTAGACAGCATTTTCCGGTTTGCCATACAGAAAAAAATCGGTGATACACACCCACTTGTGACGGCTTTTGGGGTGATTATCGGCATTAACCTGTTTGGCTTTATAGGCCTTATTTTCGGCCCCCTCCTTATATCCCTGTTCCTGCTGCTCATCAAAATATATACACTGGAATTTTCTCCGGAAAAACAATAGTAAAACCACGTATTTACTAAAAAAATGGTAATGTTCACTGCTGCAAACACGTAGTACAGCAAAAGAAAATACCTTTGTATCCGAAATCCAAAAATTATTCGTTTTTAAACTTGCAACTTTAACAAGATCATAATATTTTGTCGCCGTTGCCTGTGTTAGCAGCGCCGGTAAACCGTTAAAATCCATATCAAACCATGAAAACCATTTCTAAACCCCTTTGGGCTTTGTCATTCTCCGCATTGCTCCTCTGTATTCCCGTTAAAAATAATGCTGGTAATTACGCTGCAAAACAGCAGACTGGTACTGTACTCATGGCTGTCAGCAACCAATCGGCTGTTGCCAACCAGGCGCTTGCACTGTATGATGCATTAAAATTAAAAAGTTACGGTCTTACCAGGGCAGCCTTCAATTACGCTTTTAAAGGATACCAATACCTGCAGCAAAAGAAAATGCTGGCACAGTCATCTGTATTAACCATCTGTGATTTCAGCCAGTCATCGCGCCGCAAACGTTTTTTTGTGATTGACATGAACCAGCAGAAAGTATTGATTAATACCTATGTGGCACATGGCCGCCGATCAGGTTCAGAGTATGCCCGCGCTTTTTCCAACAGCCCGGAGAGTCATATGAGCAGTCTTGGTTTTTACAAAACAGAAACTACTTACTATGGTGGTCATGGCCTGTCTTTGAAAATTGAAGGACTTGAAAGAGGATTTAACGACAAAGCGGATGCAAGGAATATTGTGATACATGGGTCAGACTATGTAGGGTCTGGTTTTATAAAAAACAATCCCTTTAACGGCAGAAGCTTTGGTTGCCCGGCAGTACCGGCCAACCAGGTAAACGATGTTATCAATACTATTAAAAATGGCAGCTGCCTGTTTATCTACCACCCTACAAAAAATTACCTGGCCCATTCGAAGATACTTAACAGCTAGATTGGATAGTACACTACAGATGGTTTGGAAAACAACAGCTCAATCGTACCCTATGATTGGGCTTTGTTATACCCACTAGCCCCTTGAAAGGGGAATTTGAGTCTCCGCATGAAATTTAAATCTATTCAAATGGGTGAACGCTTCTATAAAAATAGTGCTGAGATGCTTCCAATTGATTTCTACTTTGTTTGAAGGCTTGTTCCAAGACAGCACTGGCAAAATGACAATGACTTAGTCAGTTCATTGGAATTTTATCTTCCGGTATACGTATTTTTTTGAAGCAATATACTATTGCCAAAAAGAGTTATTTAAAACTACCGTTTCTTTTCCTGGAACCTACACCTGCAATTTATCAAATACACTTACTTCGAAGACTTAATACTTGCCTTTAAGGGCTGGGGGTTAGCCCGCTATCCCAATGGCTACCAACTGGCAGAGGGCACCGGCCAACACGCCGCTATAGATTTCAAAGCCGGTATGGTCAGACACAATCAATCTTGCGGTACATACAAGGCCGGTAATCAGTGTGGCAATGGCCAGCCAGGAGCCAAACACCACGGTGCCGTTGAAGGCCATCCACAAAAACAGAATGAACAAGGCGCCAACGGCAATACCGTGCATGCTGATCTTATAATAAATATTTGCCATCATGCCTGCAATGCAGGATAAGAA